AAAAAAAAAAAAAAAAAAAAAAAAAAAAGACAAAAATCCCTGCCTACACAAAACTTACATTCTGGTAGGGTTAGGGACAGATAAGATAAATAAATAGAATATATGGTGTATTTGATGTGATAAGTGTTTTGAAGAAGAATAAAGCAAGGGAAGGGGTTAAGGGAATGCTGGGTGGCTGGAAGTAGGGGGATGAAAAGATAAAATTTTTTTTTTTTTGTCTTTTTCCGTGTCCGGCAACGGATCGCAACCCTCAGTGTCGCCCCCATACCGGACCGGGACCGGCAACGGGATCGCAACCCTTGGTGTTGCTCCCGCGCCTCGCTCAGCCGCCGCGCTTCCCAAGCGGCGCACTATCCAGTGCGCCACCGGGCCGGCCCAAAAGATAAAAATTTTAAAGTGTGTCCAGAGAAGGTTTCACTGAGGAAGTGACATTTGAGTAGAAATTGGAATAAGTAAGGGAAATATGCTGTGCACATATTGGGGGGAAGACTGTTGCAGATAAAGGAATCGCGGGTGTCTTTTTCAGATGGTTAAGTTTGTTGGAACTCATACAGTTAGGTAGGTGTTATTGTAGATTCACTCAGACTTTTTGCCTTGACAGAATGTCCAGCAAGGAAGTGAAGACTGCTCTGAAAAGTGCTAGAGATGCAATCAGAAACAAAGAATACAAAGAAGCCCTGAAACATTGTAAGGTAACAAATATTCTTTTCTTTCACAGTAAAAATATGTTACCCATTTATAAGCATTATTCATTTGTAATATGTGAATAATTTCCTGTCCAAATATAACAAAAGTGGTAAGGCCATTAAGTAGAACCACTAGAGTGGTTGGATTAGTAACCCCCAATTAGTAGGATAAACTATTCCTGCTACTTAGTTTTGTCTTTTTCTGTATTGGTAACTTATCAAAGCAAAGTTCTCAAAACCTGAATATATCATAAGTATCTTTTCATGGGTTGTGTTATGAAATGCTACTGTATCTTAAAGTTTTCATTCTTTAATGGTGTGTTGACATTCTAATTCTATTTCGTTTGTGTATGGGCCAGTCAATATTCTAAATCTCCTTTGTATGCTGATTGGAATGTTTCCATTCAGAGGGAGAAGTTGAATGTTCAGGAGGGAGAGAAGGTAGTGGTAGGATGAAATCCTGGGGAAATTGGAGAGGATGGGATCCAGAGCTTGAGAGGAGGGCCTTTAACCCTTCTTCTGTCTTCGCAAGAGAGAAGATAGGTGCAGATCCATACAGTTATCAGGTTTGTGGATTTGGTGGTGGGGTGATAAGAGCACTCTCCTCCTATGGCTTCTGTTTTTTTGGTGAAGTATAAGCTGAGAGTGGGAGAGGACTTATATAGTAGGGTTGAGACAAAAGAAGGTCTGAAGTAGTTGTTATTCAGAGTGGGAAACAAACTTACTAGTAAGGATTGGAAGGATTACCCTAGTGAGTGCCCATTTGAAGTTTCATGTTATTAAAGTGAAATCAGTGAATTTGGCTGTAGGTTTCTTCCTTCATATGCAGCTTCTATGTTTGGAGATGGGCATGATGGGGTTCAACTATGGATGGTGAGAAAGATGAGGGGAAAGAGAGGCAAAGGAGTAGAAGATGTGCTGACAAGGGAGTGATGACAGTGATGGGTCATGGAGTCTAAACTGGGTAAGGAGTGATGAGAAGCGGGGTAATAGGTAGTGAAAAAAGGAGGTGGAGTCAAAATATTGGAGATATCAAAGGCTGAAGAGTTGTTATCATGAGACCATTACGGTGATTGATCTGGCAGGATAGGAGAGGGACAGAATAGTAGCATGCTGGAAATCCAGATTTTGGATGGCTGAGTAGTGTGGAGGTTATAACTGAGAGGCAACAGTGTTCAATGGGACATCAACATGAATGTTAGAATGAATACAGGGATTGAGGTGGAGTAGAAGGATACAAAATTTTCACTGAAGGACAGTGGAGTTCCTAGGAGGTTGGTAACAACAGGAAGGATGTTTTTAGTAGTATACGTGAATTGTTTGAGCTTCAAAAGTAATAGGATTTTCGAAAGAGGGAGGAAAAGAAGAGGAGCATTTGTGACAGTGTGAGCAAGGAGAACCTCTCCTCACCTTCTGGTTCTGTGGTATGTGGGATATAAGAGAACAGAAATCTACTGCAGCATGTAGGGGAATATCTGACCTATAGGGGAATATCCAAGTTTCAGTTGAGGCAGAACTTGGTGCAGTTTAAAGAAAGGTTGAAAATATGGAGAGAACTGAGCTGTCCCAGTTTGGGAGTTCCAGAGGGCACAATGAAAAATTTAGAGAGTGGTAGGGAGGGAATTGGGCAAGATTGGGAGAAGTACACAGCAATATGAGGATGAGTCTAAGGGGTAAAGGATACCCTTCTGAGGTTTAGGTTTCTAGTGATGACATTGAGCCCAGCAGGGATGTGAGGACATGATAGTATAATCCTGATACTGAAGAAGGTGGGCAATCCAAACTAGGGGTGGGGTGGGGGGTGGAGTAAAAGAAGGAGAGAGGGACTGTTTCAGCACTAGGCTTATCTAACTAATGTGCATATGAATCTATTTCCATTATTATATACAGCAGCACCATAGATTTTCAGTAGGTTTTCTGCAAAATTCAGATATGAATTCCACCAAGTAGTTCATCATTTATACTGGAGAGACTCAACTAGGAAACACAAATTGAGAACTAATCAGTGGCAAACACCTGATTTGTAGTGACACACAATGTTGATTGAGACTAAATGAATTTTTTAATAAGGAAATGTTGCATCTTAGTGTATTTTGCTGTAATTTTGTCTAATCATCACATTGTCTGCTTGTGGGGCTTTATGACATGGTATGAGCATCCCTTCAACAGAGCCTTTTCTGATTTGTGCAGTTGGAGTTAGGTACTTTTTTCTCTGTGTTCTCTCAGAACCTCATATATGCTTTCACCACACTGTTGTAATTATTTCCTTAAAAATCTGTTTCAGATTCTGAACACTAGGCAGCAGGCAGGTAGTCGGTACTTACTGATTGCTGGTTGACTATGGCATTTACCATTTGTTCAGTAGTTATGTGCCAGCCATCATACTTAGTGTTGGGAACATAAGCATTAATAAAGCCCTAGTGTCTAGAGCCTAATTGTTGTGTGTTTTTAGGAGGCAGCATTATTGGTTAGAATGGAACTTGTGCTGTATATTGGTAACAGATTGCGAAAAGTGTTATGTGGCAGCACATAAGCCTGGTTCAACTTGTGGAAATGTTCTTATTTTCTCTATTTAAAACCTTAAAGGCTAATTTCATTTTAGCTGCTAGTTTTGTTTTTCTTTCTGTAGAATATATTTGCTTTCTGCTTCAAGCTATTTTATATTACCTTAGCACATAGCTGTTATTTCTGAAAGCAGTATCTCTACCTATAATTTTTATTCCAGTTGGCAGGTGTTGTTTAAACATTCATTCTCACTATTTATTTTGAACATATTTGGTATAGTCATATTGGGGTGAATCTACTTGCCTATCCTGTAATTTCAGTGAAAAATCCATCTGTCTAAAATGGGGAAACACTGTCATGGTGAAGGAAAATTTGAGAGTTGAATGATATGAAATGAGATTGAGAACAGTTTTGTGAGTTGATCAGTAGTAGTGTGCAGTCAGGAGGGATGGTTGGTAGTTACTGTTCTTTTTATACCCAGTATTCTCAAAGAGTAGGGGGAGGCATTTGATGGAGGCGTCAGGATCACGTGGGCAGCTTTTAAAAAATGTGCCTCCAGTTTCAAATCCCTTATAATCACTGATACAGTCCAACTCCCTCTCTCCTTGAGGAAACTGAAACCAGAGAGGTTAAGTGGCATTTTGAGGGTCACCCAGTCAGTGGTAGATCTAGATTTCCTGACTCTTTATGTAGACTTTTTGTTGTTGTTTGTTCATCAGCTTCCAAAATTTAATGATCTTCTCTTTTAATTTTTTTTTAATCAGACAGTGTTAAAACAAGAGAAAAATAACTATAATGCCTGGGTTTTTATTGGGGTTGCTGCGGCTGAACTAGAACAACCTGATCAGGCCCAGGGTGCCTATAAGAAAGCTGCTGAACTAGAGCCAGACCAATTACTAGCGTGGCAGGTATGTAGAATTTTTTTTTTTTTTATATTATAGGAAAGGATTTTTTTGCATTTTTCAAAATATAGGTAACAGTATTAAAATAAGCATTTAAGGGCTGGCCCCTTGGCTCATTCGGGAGAGTACAGCTCTGGTAGCACCGAGGCTGTGGGTTTGGATCTTATATAGGGGTGGCCGGTGCGCTCATTGGCTGAGCATGGTGCAGACCACACCATGCCAAGGGTTGCGATCCCCTTACTGGTCAAAGAAAAAGCGTTTAAACCACTATTTGCCCTATGTTAGAAAAAAATTTAGATTTATTGGTCTTTTAAACCTGAAAGTTAGTTAAAAAAAAAAAAAAAGCGGTGGCAAGGATGTTTACTACTATTTAACATTCTATCCAATGGAGTATTTCTAAATGTGATGACTCAGATTGAAACATGACTACATAAACCTCCAACTTAATTATATGTACATATAAAAACATCTGGAATATTCTTTTTTAGGCTTACCTGAGGAAAAAGAAATGTGTATTAAAATGTTTTCTAAAAATAAAACAATATAAAAACGTTCAATTCTCTATCTTTGAATGCAAGTTAAATTCTTTTTACTTGGTCTTAATTTTTTTAGTTGAATTTACCAACTTTTTCATATTTAATAACTTTAATTTGCTTCAGATCTCAATGACATCTTTGAAACTGTGATTAATAGGAGACAGTAGGCTCTAGGGAGCGCAAACCTGTTTGTCTCAGGCTCACATGAATAAGAACTTGCATGAGGGTATCTGGTAACACAGAGAAATGGCTGCTTTTAAATGTACTGATTGGTTTGGGATATCTGATCTTTATTTGAATCAAAAATGACAATTTCCATATAATATTTGGATTTTTTTTGCTTGACCATATAAAAATAGCGTCATATAGATCTTAAATCTTCTCATTGCACGCATGTTGTATACACACACAAAATGGTAGCTATGTAGAGGTAATGGATATGTTAATTAGCTTGATTGTGGTGATCATTTCAAAATATATACATATATCAGAGCATCAAGTTGTACACCTTAAATATATACAATTTTAATATGTCAATGATATCTCAATAAAGCCGTTTAAAAACCATGTTCTGCTGAAATTTTAATAAAAAGATGTCACCTTAGGGGATAAGATTATAGAATAACCATTGAAAAATGTTTTTTGTGAAACACTTCCAATGTATTTTCAAAAGCAAAGAGAATGATATAATGAACCCCTTTATGCCCATCACCCAGATCCAACAAAAATTCACTCACAACCGATATTTTTTCATCGGTACTTTTGTGTGCTCCTTTTCACCCCCAATTATTTGTTGGCACATTCCAGACATACTTCTGCAAATTATAATAATCTTTTATCATAAGTAATCTTTATAGATTATCACATTATTTAGCAAAATAGTTGAATGTGGGAACATAAGACATTTTGGGAAGAATAATTACTACTACTTTCTCTTTCAGGGGTTAGCAAGCTTGTATGAGAAATGTAATCATGTAAATGCTAAGGATGACTTGCCTGGTGTTTACCAAAAGCTCCTGGATCTTTATGAAAGGTAATGAATATGTGAGAAAAACCCAGTTTCTTTAAAACCTTGAATTAGACTGAATTGGTTAAAAATTATATAGAAGTATTCCAGACATTTACTGGGAATTAGAAAGTGTTTTTCTTTCAGACGTTTGTCATAGAATCTCTTGATTGTGAATGAAATAGAATTAAAACATTACTAGTAAGAGGATTGACTAATTTCAAAACTTTGATATTAATTTCAGTCAATATGATGAAAGACAATATTTCTTAGACCTTTTATTTTTTATGAGACACTCATTTTACAAACTCTTATTGTAGAAGAAAGAGGGTATGTTCTAATTTAAAATAGTGCCTGGTAATATTACTGGGATATTTTAAACTTAGTGGTGTTTTAAGTCCTCGGTTATTTTCATTGATTAAATTTAAAATTTTATTTTATTTTATTTTTGTTCTAAGTGTTGACAAACAGAAATGGTGTGATGTCTGTAAGAAACTCGTGGATCTGTATTACCAAGAAAAGAAATACTTAGAGGTTGGTTAATGATTTTTTGGGGGTCCTAGACTTTTTAAAGATAAAACCATTATTAGAAGAAAGCTTTCATTTAGCTTAAAGAACAATTAAAACTTAATATGCAGTATGATATTAAAAGAATTTAAGAGCTACTTCAAATTACAAAGCTTTGAAAACTGTAAATTAGAAGACACATGCAATGTATTGTAACTTCTAAACCTTTTTGAAACTGGGCAGGGTATAAATTAAATAAATAGAAGCATCATCTGTGGAACTTAGTGACCCAGCTGTGGTGTCCCCATGCTGATGCTATAAGTTATGGGGACTGGGCACGTAGTCATCATTCCTGTATCTACTCTGATATCTCCATCATACTTCTTATATAAGGGCTGTGTGGATTTTCCCACTCAACTTATTTTTTATGGAGTTCGTAATAGATAGGATTCTGTGCTTTTGCTGTTTTTATGTATTAACAGATAAAAATAGTTTTTTTGTAGACTTTATATTTTTTATTGGCATTTTTAGTATTTAAGATAAAATAACCATTTTAAATCTTCTTTGCAATAGGTAGCTCGAACATGGCACAAACTGATAAAGATACGGCAAGAAGAAGGTGCAGATAACCAAGAGCTTCATCAACTATGGAGGAAATTGACTCATCTGCTGGCTGAGAGTACTGAGGAGCAGAATAATGAAATTCAGCAATTGGTATTGATTTGTTTATTCCTCAGTTTGTATCACAAAAATTGATCATTTAATTGAATTTAGAAAATGGAAACATAATGAAATAATATAGAAAAGTACTATATGTCAGACTAAGTATTTTGTAAATGTACTATTTTAAATTCATAGAGACTCTTCCTGATAGAGTTAGAATTATTGGCCTACAGTCTCATATGAAGTCTGGATGGAATTGAATTAGTACTCAGGGTATCAGAATTTCGTTCCTTTGTATTCATTAGAATCCACATTAAATCAATAACTTAATCCCTGTAAAAAAGAAACTATAAAAATTGGCTGTCACAAAATTGCTGTAATTTCTAAAAAGTTGTACCTTGAAGGTGTGCTTCCTTATACTTGTAAACTAAGAATAGTGAATTACCTTGAGGTTTAACAACTCAACTAGAGTATTTAGGGCATTTCTGTTTAGGATTTAGAGTATTTACACCTAGAAAATATTCCTTTTTAGTGTACAGATTTTCAAGTAATTGAAAATAATTTTTAAAAGACATAAAAAAACCATTCATTTTGAACTATGATTTGAAAATATCTCTATCATTCTTTTGTGATTTAAGTTCAAAAGTCAATTTAATTTCTTATTGTTATAAATAGCAAGTAAATGTACACTTGTTAAACTGAATGGAATTTTTAAACCTAAATAATTATAGACTCTATAAAGGATGTGAAGTCCCTTTCCTTGTATGTTTGTTCATTTGTTCACTCGTTAAATTGTTCCTTTATTCAGAAAATATTTATTGAAAACCTACTATATTTCAGGCAGTGTCCTAAGAGCTGTGGATAAACACGTGACAATAAGGTTTCTATTTCTTGGTGTGATAACAGTGGTTTATCAGGGCATAGATTCAGTTGTGGAAAAAAATAGAGTTGTGACAAAATTAGGTAGCTTACCAGCTTCTCTTAAATCATATCTTCATAATATACCTTCATTATTTTTCTTAAAATAGTATAGGTTACCAGAATATCAAACACATACCAAAATAAGCAAATTGTCCTTTTGAATTATTATTTCTTCATGAAAGAGAATTAATTATTCTTATAATTTTAAGAATTGATCTCCAACTGTTAGAAATAAGATTTGGGGGAGGTTTATTTTCACCTTGAAAACTGAGTGTTCAGAAAAAAATGTATCACCTATTTTTCCATTTGGAATAATTTCATTTCTATTTTTAAGACCATTTATGCCAGCTAGACTGTTTTGTTAGGCTACCCTTTTTGAAAGATTATTAACTTTATCAGAGCAGTGAAATTTTACTTATTTATATAGAATTTATACAATACTTCCAAAGAAAATTTGAGGTAGTGAACTGTATTATGTGTTTTTATTATTAAGTCATTAATATTCATTTAAAAATGTAAAACTTATGTAGCCAAATGAATGGTCTAAAGTGCTTTAAAGTACTTGCCTTGGATCTTACTGTTGCTGTTCTTGCTCAAGACATATTTAGAAGCCTCTTTGGGAATTTTCTTCAAAGTCAGTTAAAACTCTATAAAGCAAGTGATTTCATTACAGTTCAGTCATATCCCTGTTTTTCTTTTACCAAAATTATAACTCACCTTCATAAAAACATTTTATAAAGGTTGAAGATTTGAACCGAAGAATGTGCTATTGATTTCAGAAGAAATATTTTTAAAATAATGTGGGCAGTAGGAGCTATACTAGCATGTAAGACTATGCTCTGGTTGACTGCTTTGTAGGAGACAGCAAGCACTTGAAGAATGTTTTGTTAAATTAATGTTGTTAATTTATAGTTATCAGTAATTAGTTCAGTGCAGTCTGCTGCCCAGTTGGAATTAGAATGCTTTCCAAAACTTATGTGTACAATTTTTTCCTCATAGAAATTGTCAGGGCCAGACACAAAATACATCTGTAGTTTGTATAAGAGAGTCTTATACATTTAACCGTTTATCACATTTCTAATTTAAGTATGCTACTGATGATAGCCTTTTTGTTTGTTTCAGCTTTTAACTGCATATGAGAATGCATTGGGCTTATCAGATAATATTCCTAGTGAAGATCACCAAACACTTTACAAGCATTTCATTCAGTGTTTATCCAAAGTAAGTTGATTTTTTAAATCTCTAATGTGACTTTTATGTATTTCTAATTAGGAAAGTGTTCACAAATGCATTTTACTACTACTGGAATTTAGTTTATTTTGCTTTTATATTTTCAAGTTTCCTCTTGAGACTGCTAGGTTGAAGAAGGCCTGTGAAGGAATGATAAACATCTATCCCACTGTACAATATCCGTTAGAAGTGCTTTGTTTGCATTTAATTGAATCAGGTAATTTCTTCTTTATTATTGTCCTAGAAGTGTGTGATTGTGTGGGAGTGACATTGCAATCAGTCAAAAAATGTCTTAGTGCCTACCATATGTAAGGTATTGTTTCAGTGTTTCTGGACATAAAAGAACACAATATGTAGTTTTTGTGCACATGAGAAGGCCAATAAAGGTAGGAAAATACAGCAATACAGAGGAATTGTGAGTTACTGAGTTCATTCTTATTGACAGCAGGAATTGAAAAGGATCTTGAATTTTCCATAGATATTAGATAAACAGGAGGAGGTGAAATGTACTCCAGATGGCATGAGCAGAGCTGTGGCACTAGGAGCACTTTTAGGAATAATAATAATGTTGGTTGTAAGAATTTGTGGAATTGAGTTGGGTGGGAGGGGGGAGAGGGAGGAGGGAGGGGGGTTTCGGTAATGGGCCACAATAATCAACCTCATTGTATATCGACAAAATAAAATCAAGAAAAAAAAAAAAGAATTTGTGGAATTGAGTTGGGTGGGAGGGGGGAGAGGGAGGAGGGAGGGGGGTTTCGGTAATGGGCCACAATAATCAACCTCATTGTATATCGACAAAATAAAATCAAGAAAAAAAAAAAAGAATTTGTGGAATTGAGCAACTCAGTTTTAGGTACATTCCAGGGCAAAACATTATTCTGGGGTGGAAATTTAATAGTTAATGCAAGACAGGAAAAAGCTATGTTTAATGATTCTTTTTTTCTTTTGATTGCTCCTCTAAACCAAACTTTACATATGCGTCTCCAGAACTGAAAATCTGGAAGATCTCTAAGGGCTGACCTTCTCACCCAAAGTACTTCAGTATCTGTAGAATTTGTTACTTCACAGCAGTTAATCACTGGGTTCTCTTCTACTGAGGGCAAATGCATTTTATTTTGTCCTGCTTTTCATGTTGAGACTTGAAGATTCGTTTTCAAAATAACTCAGTTTACAAAGCTTCATATAACAGGTAGTAAATAGCTTTCACTGTTGTCATCTGTTGAAATGTTTTTCTCCTGCTAAAAGACCGTTTTGATTTATTTTGCTTTGTTACTGAAAAGGGGCAAATAAAAAAGCTTGGTTCTTCAAATTCAAACAGAAAAGAGCTTCTTTAAGATTTTGTGCTGTACAAATATTAGAAAATCCAGATAGAAATAAGGAAATGAATGCCATCAAATTATACGTGTTGTGTTTTTTTCCTCCAAAGTTAGGTTTATTTAAAATAAAAATTCTGCAGTATTGATCAGTTTCTTTGGGATATAAGAAATGAATTGTTACTTAAAATAAACACACCTCTTTTTTGTAGTAAAGTTTAAGAAACAGAATTCCATAGGTATTAGCATCCAACCTGGACCTCTTCAGAAAACCCTTTATCCTTGGAGTTTTAGCATTCATCAACCCCTAGTCCAGCTTGCCTTTTTGAGAAATAAAAAGAATGTTGTCAACCTGTTTTAAAATTGTTAAATCTGAAACCTTAGAATCCTTTACATGTTAAAAAGAGCAGATAAGCTAAATAAATGATTTTCCATTTAAAAGCAGGGAAGTCTATTTCCACTCTGTTTTTATCCTCCACCAAGGTATGTATTTAGTTAGTATTCTCAACAAGAATTAGTATGGAGTAGAGGAGGATTGGGAGTTGAAGCTGGAATATTCTTTGTCTCATTACACAGGATCATTAGATTTGTTATTACTGTTGCTGGTTTTTGAGAATACTATAGAAAATTCCTCTCAGTGCCACTTGGTTGTATATAGAGAGTGTGTTACCTAGGGCTAAACATGAACATAGTTTCCCCAAATCTCCTTTTTTTCTGTAATTGTGAAACAATTATAACTTCTGTTTTTATAACTTCTAGTTGTAGATGTTTGTTTCTATAACTCCCAGGCATTAGCAAAGGGAGTACGTTAGGAAGGTTTACCTTGTTGTAAAAGTTGTTTCTGTTCATCTCAGCCTTTTGGAAACTGTTGTCATGGACCTGCCCACACTTTGCTTACCTACGCACCATTTTAGATACCCTAAATATGGACGATTATTGGAGCGATGCATGATTAGCTTTTCCTCTTTTCATCCTAAGGGTATTTTCTGTGCTTTCATGTAGCCAAGGTAGTGACATGAATTATGTTTTTTATGGAGTAAGAGAGTTTTGACTCAGATGAGTAGAGATTGGAAGTAAAATTTTAGTAGCCATTTTTTTTTCTTTTTTAGGATGGTGAAGATTTTAAATTTTCTATAGTAATTTTCAGCCATTGCCTATTAACAGATTAAGCCTTTTTGAACATCAATTCGTGATGGTATTTTTAAAGAATTATCACAATATTTAATGAATGCCTACTATGTATAAGATACCATGCTAGTCTCTACTCTCCAGAAGTTACTATTTAGCTACAGTGGCAACAAAGGCAGAGTATCTATGTTATAAGAGTAATAATAAAGGTGTATTGTGGTATTAGCAAATACTGTAGACCTGTGGTTCTTAAAGTATGACCTCTGGACCAGTAGCATTAGCATCACCTAAGAACTTGTTAGAAATGCCAGTTCTCAAGTCTTACAACGGACGTACTCAATCATAAACTTTAGAGGTGGGGCTCCAGCATACTGTGTTTTAACAATCCCTCTAGATGATTCTGATGCCTAGTGTAGATTATGTCTAGTTTAGACAGTACTACTGGATACAAGGGGAAAAAGTCACTGCTTTGCTTGGGAGGATGTGAGTGTTTAGAACTGGGCAGATCTATTCTTGGAAGCTATAGTGAAAACATTGACAAAAGGAAATTCATGTCTGGAAGCATAACAGTAGCAGTCTTGTGTCTTTTTAACTGGCTTACTAATCAAAGTAGTATTTCTTCCAGTTCATTTTCATATTTTATCAAGCAGTACTAGTTTAAATTTTTTAGCCATTATGAGTTCTTTTACTTTTTGGTACTGATTTGGATTTCTAAGTCAATATATAATATATTACTTATGGATTATGCATTGGTGTGCATCTCGTTTTGAAAAATTTTAAATATATAAATTAAATGGTGTTATTGCAAAGAATTTACTTTTTACATCTGTCTCTGAAACAGTGGTTCCATGTGTGGTTTAGGAGTATATGTTTTATACAGATATTAAAGCATCATGTCTTTTTTTTCAGATGAGTTATTTTTGTTTGTTCTCTGTATTTATTGCTTTAAGTTGTAGTCTATTTGAATAACTTATTAAAATTTTTCCTGTGTGATCAAGTAATTTATTAAAGTGATGAATGCTATTCACAGTTTATTCTAAAGATAGAAATTACATTTCTCATTTGTTTTTATGCTTTTCTGGTAAAGGGAATCCTAAGATTGATTGAGGTTGGAGAAAATGGCAATAGAACAGAATATATAATGTTCTGTAAATTATTTTACTGAAATAAATTTGAAAATAAATGTAGGTATTGGATGCTTATTACATAAGCTTAACCATGAACTTATGTAGAAAAATATAGTTTTAGGAAAGTGTGGAAATGTGCTGCTGACTTGTAAATCTAAAAAGAATGTGATTAAGTCCTTGTACAGTGTCCTGGTGAGTAGCCCACCCATCTTTTGATCCTAGGATGCTGGAAGAGTACGAGTACTCTGGATCTGGCTACCCATGTTTCTAGCACTGCATGGTCACCCTTGGAGAGAGATTGGTGAAGACACTTTCCTTTGACAGGGATTCCTTCATTTTACAACCAAAATCGTTACTGCTGAACAGGAAAGAGAGACCTGTCAATTAGTAAGCCATGTGACTTAGCCTCCTGGCAAGTAGCAGTAGGTCTCTTGTTTGAAACCCTTGAGTATGACTTCAGGTTCAATGTCTATGGGTAGATATTTGAATACTGGGTTTAATATTTAAGATAATGAAAGCATACAATGTTCTTTATAAAATATTAATATTTTCTGCATTTGCTGGTCTATTTATGGTTTGAATTCCTGGTATCAAGATATGATGAAGGATGTTTAGGGCAGCTTTTGAGATTTAAGTATATAGTTTTTGTCTCTTAGAATCTTGGTATATGTATGCTAAAACCTTTTTCTTTTAATTCCAGGAAGTCTTACTGATGAGGGACAGCAGTATTGCTATAGACTAGTGGAAATGGATTCAAAAAGTGGTCCAGGCCTCATTGGCTTAGGCATTAAAGCATTACAAGACAAAAAGTATGAAGATGCTGTTAGGAATCTAACAGAAGGTAAATGTACAGTGTATGGCATGTAACATGAGGTGTAATTATTATTTAGTCAGTAGGCATTTAGTTTTGAGCCTTTGTATAAGGAACACATATCTAAGATGGAAGGGAAAAAATGTACCTGCTGCATACCTTGGAGTCTGCTTAGGTTTGAATTCCAGCTCTGCCACTCACTAATTTCAAGACCCAGGAAAAGTTAATTAAATTTTCTGTGTCTCAGTGTTTTCATTTGTAAAACAGGAAATGTATGTATATATAGACACACACACATATATAATTATATTTATAGATAGAGAGTGCACATGCGTGTGAGCACTTTAGGAAGGCTTTAACTTAGTCTTATCCGCTATGATGTTTCAGGATGAACCTACATTCAAGTTGTGATCTGAATGACAAATTCAAGCCAGGCAGGTGGGTGAAGGGGATGGGAGGAGCATTTTAGGACAGGAGATGAATCTGTGAAATAGCCTGAGGTAAGAAGAAAACTGTTGTTCAGGGAACTGCAGGTAGTTCAGTAAGATCTGAGTATGAATTATGTGTGTACAGGAAGAAGTGAGGTTGGAGAGGAGCCTTGCAAACCTTGTTAAGGAGTTTGCACATTATCCTGAAGGCAGTGTGAAGTCAGTGAAAGGTTTTAAGCAGGGGAATTTTGTAATCTGATTGGTATTTGTAGAAATATTCTAGCTACATTGTAGAGAATGCATTGGAGTGGATGACAAGCAGTTGCAGTGATATGGGATAAAGATTGTGGAGGTCTGAACTGAAGTGATGGTGGTAGAGTTGGAGAAAAACATATGAAGAGAAATGGATTAGGACATGGAATCAATGGGACTTTATGATTAGATATGAAAGATGAGGCAGAGGGGAGGAATCTGATTTGGAGAGGAGATGGTAGTGCCATTCATCTGAGTAGTCACAGAAACTTTAGCTTTTGTGATTGTTTTTATCCTTTTAGGCTTAAAAGAAAGCTCTCTCTGCACAACTGGATGGTATCATCTGGCAGAAGTCCAAGTCAAAATGCACAGACCTAAGGAAGCTGTTCTTTCATGCAATCAAGGTATTCTTTTGGGTTTACACGTTAAGGGTACCCAACTCAGTTTTCATCTTAAAGGAGAAAGGTAGTGGATTAAAAAACCCAGATGCTGTATTTTGTATTTTAAATTGCTGACTAATTTAACTTTCATTAAAGAGGTTAACTAAATACCAAGGCTGCATACATATCTACTAGTGTATATATTTTTAAACTGACAATGATTATTTATCAAAGGTTTCCTGCATTTGGAATTTTGAAACAGTCAGTTTAGGTGTGGGTGGAGGTGCTCTGTTTTTGTAACAAGGAAATTTCTGGTGGGTTCAGGAACTTCATGAGTTCTTAGTTTCTCTCATGTAGATAAGGAAAGTCTTAGGCATCTTGGAGCCTGTCTGAATGTGAAGGAGTGAAGTGTGAGGATAGGAAATCATAAAAAGTGATTCACTGTTCCTGGTCCATCTTGTAGGTTAGCCTCTGAAACTGACAAACAGTTCACCCTGGCCCATTCTAATTCAGGTTTCTTTTCACCTTCTGGTATCCTTAGTTTGCTAGTAGAAATAGATGTAGTTACAGATGTTTTGGCTAAGGCAAACCTTTATTATGTAGGAGATATAGATAGCCATTGTTGTGTTTCAGGATATTCAGGTTTATTATATGCCATGTGAAGATAGAGGTTTTACATTCAGATATGTTTTGTTTTAAATTCAGATCTTTTCATAAGGACAGGGAAGAATTTATATTTACTTTTGAATTATTCTTCATGTATGTTGTTTTGGAAATCTGTGCTTATTGTATCTGCAATTTATTATATGCCATCCTTAAAAAGAAAAAAAGAGTGAAGTGATATGGTTATCTTCATTTAGATATTCTTACTTTTGTCAGCTCTGAAGAACATAAATAATCTTAGTGTGTCTGGTGGCAGTCTTCATCAGAAGAATCTTTGTCTTCGTTTGAAAGCAGAGGCTTTGATTAAACTATCAGATTATGAATCTTCAGAGGAAGCACTTCGTACTCTTGATCAGGTAGTCTAATCATCAAGTTTTTTCCTTTAAGTTTAATTAGTTTCCAATCAACCAGGCAACAAGCACTCTCTCCTTACCACAGATATTTACTTATACAAATTTTGTGTTTAGAGGTATGAATTTACAATATGTGCACTTTTATAAATCGTTCACACACTTGGGAACTTCTAAAGTTACTTGTTTGCCTCTTGGTTAAGTACTTACAGATGTCTTCATATGAAGCAATTTCTTTATTTCTAACTCTTATTCCCCTTTCTTCTTTTTGCCCTCTTTGGTAATTACTACTTGATTATACTTAATTTGGGCTTCTAAATTTTTTCCTCCAGAAAATGTTTTACAGATTATTGACAAGAATAGTTAAGGATGCTGGTAGCTTCAAGGTAGAGAAAGTTGTTTATTTGTTTCATTCAAAGAAAGATTAATATTTAAAGAAGGAAACTGATTTCTTAATGCTTTTGGTTCAAGCAATTTGAAATTCCCTAGCAAAAAATAAAACGACATACTCAGCAAATTATGAATTATAACAACATTGTGCCTTAAAGATTTTTGTCAGGTAAAGGCTATTTTTTGACTAAAATTAAAATTATATCACTCAGTGGATTGCCGAGTTTTGAGTTGCTTTAAAAAAAAAAATCATTGTTTTGTATATTTCAGTGGGCTTTGCATTTTGTAATATTTTGTAATTTTTTTTAAAATTAGAGCAGTTGTCAATATTCTTCAACAACTAATATCTTATTTTCTCCTTGCCTTCCCACTAATAATGTGTTTTGTGTGAGTGCTTCGTAAGAGGTCTTTCCAATAATTTTTTCACAAAACAAAATGAAAAGTTTCTTGGAGAACTGGAAGAGTCCAGATCTTAGACAAAAAATCTGAGTCCAGAACATCTTGTCATGCTGGAGAGCAAGGAAACTATGAAAGACTAGCTAGGATCATGTCAAAAGGACTCAGGAGCTGACATAAAGAAATTCTCACTGGCTGAAGAGGGCACCAGTAACTGCAGTGTATTGAAATATATCAAATATGTTTAGGTACATGTATTTGTAATGAAAAAAAAAATCAACAAACATCCTCAAGAAAACAAATCTTTGGAGGATGCTAAGGAGCCAAATGGAAAGAATCAAAGCATTTATCTTGCCTTTCTTATATTAACATATAACATATGAACATCAGGATAAACAAATAATGAGGAGAGGAGAAATTTCTCTTTGTTGAAGTATTCTGTCTAATAAGGGAAAAAGGAATGATAGAACTAGAAAATCACCATTTTGCAATCCCTAGTGAATTAACAGATCTAGGCATTGAGGATCAATGGCTGCTAACATTACGAAAAGAAGTACAAGAACATACGCTCAGCGAAGTATAAGAACACATAGAGTATTCCTGCTAAGACATCAAACCTGAATCAGATCAAGCTTCTAGACCTAACTACTAATTTACAGAAAATACAGAGTACCAAGGAACATGTAAAACACCATAAAAATATATTCAGCAAAATCCAGTCTGTGAGAAACTGTGACAAATGGGCCATATTTTTTAACAGTTAAATTGTTAGGGAGAAAAAAAGAGATGGAAGGGTACCCTATAGATTTAAAGAGACATATCAGCAGTTGAAATGTATGTACCTTATTTGGATTTTCATTAAAACAAATAAATTGCTCAAATACTTTATAAGATAACTGGGAAATTTGATGATATTAAGGATGTAATGTTGGTTTTGTTTAGGTGTGATGACGGTAATGTGGTTATTCATTTAAAAATGAACTTATCTGTTAGATATAGATACTGAAGTATCACAGATAAAAAGTTATAATATTTGGAATTTGTTTCAAAATAATCTGAGGAGTGTGGTAAAATGGGTGGAAGTATAGATGAAAAAAGATTGCCTTTGTTTGAGTTTATAATTTTGTAGCTGCATGATGAGTTCATGTGGGTTTATCATACTAATCTCTCCAATGATATATTTGAAATTTTCCCTAATGAAAAGGTTACAAAAAAATGGAAGTGTTAACAGTGATAGAAATCAGAATCTGTGTGTCTTTATCCTCTAGGGAGGCTGCTCTTCTATAATCATTCTTTAAAGCAAACGTTACTGCAGTTATGCTGAAGGAGATTTATAGCAATTCTTTACAATTATTTTCTAGGTTTCTGATGCAGATAATATCCCAGGGCTTTTGGTTCTCAAAGGCTTGGCCTATCTGAATGAAGGCTCATTAGATGAAGCTACAAAGGTTGGTTTTTTAATTCAAAAAGTTAAAAGTCATTTTTATGTGGATATGGGATTGACAGGCATCTATTTTATAGATTATGGAAGACCTTCTCTCTTCTTACCCTGACCTAGCTGAAGCTCATGCCCTCAAGGCTTTGATTCATTTTGCCAAAAAGGACTATCTACAAGCAGAAAAATGGTAAGGGTGTATAGATTATTCATAGATCCAGTCACATCTTAGTTTATTTTATTTCTCAAAAATTTAAAATGAGTGGGATTGATAAAGATTCAATTTTGTATAAATTTGATTTTTGTATTTTTAAGAAATGTATTTAGCATATAGAACAGTAATTATAAAAAAATTCTATGATGGGTTTCAAATCTAATTAACTGATCATGTAATGTTCAGTAAGCAGATGTAATGTTTGGTATATGCTCTGAAAACTTAGCACATGGTAATGGTAAAAGGACATTGTGCTTTTTTAAGCTCCTCTTCTCCAAAAACAAATCATTTTTTTCCTCATTATAATCTAAATCCTAAAGTAATGACTTGTTTCTAATTTGGCATCCTTGAATCACTCAAACTTTAGTTCTTCCAATTAGGAGTCTCCTATATTATATATATATATATATATATATATATGTATATATCTATGTAGGTATTTATTTATTTATTTATTTTAATATTCCTTTTTACTCCCCACTGGTGACTTAGTTTTCAGAGAGCATTGGAGAAAGATGCTGAAGTTGCTGAATATCATTACCAACTTGGATTAACATATTGGTTCATGGGTGAAGAAACAAGAAAAGATAAAACAAAGGCTCTTACCCACTTTCTGAAGGTAAAGCAAGTGCTAATATTTGATCCTCAGTTGAAATGACATTATAAAATCAAAAACATAAATAATCATAACTTATGTACTTTTTACTGAACTGTTTTTTTGTGTTTCATCTCTCACACATAAGGTTTTGTGAGAATGTTATGTGGGTTTTCAAGGAGCAAATTAAACCATAAAAATGTAAGTTACTTTTTTAAAGAAATATGTGTTATAGAAAATGAGATGTAATTACCTCTGGAAAACTATATTGTTTTTAAGGACTTTCCACTGCAGTCTTATGGGCATATGAATCTAGGTGTTTAACTTCTTGTATTTTAGATGTTTACCATTTATAAGTTTTACAGTAATATCTTGGCTCACATGAGCAGAATAATTTAATAATAATAGCTCTAATTTCACATTTCTTTTATCAAAAAAATAATATTTTTACACTTCTGTTTTCTATTTGCAGTGAAGGCCAGCTTTCATATCTGTTTTAAATTTTACATTAAGGATGTTTTGGCATATTTTTGTATATTGAATAAAATTTCCTTTTTTAAAATCTGTATATTTATCTTTTGTATTTTTAAAGACTCATCTAAATTAACTTTTAATAATTTTATTATCAATATTTATTTCAAAGGCTGCAAGACTGGATACATATATGGGCAAAGTTTTCTGCTATTTAGGTCATTATTACAGAGATGGAGGAGATAAAAACAGAGCCCGTGGTTGTTATAGGAAAGCTTTTGAATTAGATGACACTGATGCTGAATCTGGAGCTGCAGCAGTTGACCTAAGCGTGGAGCTTGAAGATATGGTGTGTCTAATAACCACTGTTGCCTTTTTGTTTTTTCTCCTGAGTATGTAAATGGAAATATTTTTATATATGTATACTTGGAAGTTATCATTAGTTTTTATTTTTCTTTGTAGATGCAACAAATATTTTTCCTCTATTTAGAAATAGAGTAAATTTTCTTTTCATCAACAGATATTAAATTGTTCATGACTTATTGTTGCAACTGTGTTTTGGTGTATACTAGTATAAGTTTAAAAAATGAGAAGTAGGAAATGAAAATATGTTTGTGTACTTTACATGGGTGTTCAGTATTTTCACAGTGTTTGATGTCTCTAATATTAGTATTTTCTTATTATTAGGAAACAGCCTTAGCTATCCTAACAACAGTAACTCAAAAGGCAAGTGCTGGAATGGCAAAATGGGCCTGGCTTAGGCGAGGACTGTATTATTTGAAAGCTGGTCAACATTCTCAAGCAGTGGCTGAGTAAGGCACCTTATTATATTTAAGCTGTTAGCTTAATGATTCCTTCAATTAAACTTCATTTATACCAAAAATGAACTTTACAAGTTGTCTCTTGCCAGGTTGTATTTTGAGAAGAAATAGCAAAATGTATTTATGGTTGATTGGTGTTTATTGTCTGCAAGGCAGAGGAATTACAAAAATGGATTAAATGGTATCCTGTGATAGCCAGTCTAGTGAAGTCTTAATAGTGTCATACATATTGTAGGTTCTCAATAGAAATTTAAGTAATGATAAAAAGCCAGGGCGCCTATCTTTGTTGTTCTCCCATTGACATTCATTGTTTTTGGTAAGGGAGACATTTGGCACCCTGAAGGGCCTTTGAAACAGCTCAGATATGATTAGTTTTAGTCATTTGGTTTGAGCTGTTATTTTAAGGGTAAATAAAATATATTTGAATCAAGATAAAGTTGTTTCTGATTTATGTTAATATCTAGAATACAGGCATCTTGAAATTTTTCGTGGAAAGAGAATTTGATCAGAAATTCAAAGCATGCATGTTATTTCTGTATTTTAACTGTGATATTTCTGTTTGGTCGTAGGATTGGTGGTGGGTATTTATAAGTCTGTGAGGCAAACTAAGATGTATAGCTATCCTGGTAGGATAGAAAATAAATTCTTTCAGATAATCGAAGAAAAGAAATTCTGGTTGGCACTTTCCAAAAAAAGTATTTTGTTTCTATTCATTCTGAAATAGTAATAAAATTTCTTAGTATTAAAAAATTCAAGTCATAAAGGGAACAGGTTTACTTGCTTTAAATAACACTTTTATAAATAGAAGGAGCAATGGATGTATGTAATTCAGTTGAATTATTTTTTATTTTCCTTTCAGATGTGGAAGTAGTTGTATTATTTTTAGTTCTCTTACTGTTTCTTGAAATTTTAGTTTACAGGCAGCATTAAGGGCAGACCCAAAGGACTTCAATTGTTGGGAATCATTAGGAGAGGCATACTTAAGCAGAGGTGGCTATACAACAGCCTTGAAATCCTTCACAAAAGCCAGTGAGCTGAACCCAGAATCCACATACAGTGTGTTTAAGGTTGCAGCAATACAACAAATCCTAGGCAAATATAAGGAGGCTGTAGCCCAATACCAGCTGATCGTTAAAAAGAAAGAAGATTATGTGCCTGCTTTGAAAGGTAATTTCTTTTTAATAGCTTCTTTGACTTTCGTGATACTGAAACATAAAATCCTTGAATAAATTTCCTACCTAATTATATTGAATAACTTGGAAAGGACTTCTTTAGTCAATATCAGGCATCTAGTGTGAACCTCTTTTAGTCTAGCTTATATAGATTTGAATACAAAAAGATCAAATCTTGTTTCATAACAGTTAATAAATAGTAATATGGTAGAGATTTAACTTTCAGACAAATAGCATGATAGCTATTGGATCTAAAAGTGGATCTCTAAAGCAATAGTTTCCCTGCTCTTATATTTTGATAATGAATTCACTGTATCCCTAGAATATCTTAATACTTTTTACCTTAGAGGCAACTTGCATTGTTTTGTAATTATCTAAATTTATTTCAGTTCCTCCATAGATATCTGTTCCTTCTTAACAAATGATTTTTGGTGATATAAAATAAAGCACCACCATCCATATATAAGCTAACTTTTTTATGATTATGTCTGACCATTTAAAAAAAGCCCTGGAGCCTAATATACATGCTTTCTTCTATTTCCTTCTCCTTTTAAAATAAACAATTGAGGTTTAAATCAGAAATACTGAATGTGTTTTTTTTTTTTTTCCCCCTTTTTGTCTTTTTTCGTGACCGGCAATGGATCGCAACCCTAAGTGTCGCACCCGTACCGGACCGGGACCGGCAACGGGATCGCAACCCTTGGTGTTGCGCCCGCACCTTGCTCAGTCAGTGAGCGGGAACTGGTCCGTATGTGGGATCCGAACCCTCGGCGGGAGGGCTGCCGCGCTCCCAAGCAGCGCACTGTAGCAGTGCGCCACCAGGCCGGCCCCAAAAACCACTGAATGTTTTAAGTGGCATATAACTTAGGGCTTGAAATTACTCTTTTTTTTATTTTTTTATTTTTATTTTTATTTTTATTTTTATTTTTTTTGTCTTTTTGTCTTTTTTCCGTGTCCGGCAATGGATCGCAACCCTCAGTGTTGCCCCCGTACCGGACCGGGGACCGGCGACGGGATCGCAAGCCTTGGCGTTGCTCCCGCGCCTCGCTTCGCCAGTGAGCGGGAGCCGGTCCGTATGTGGGATCCGAACCCTCAGCGGGAGTGCCGCCGCGCTCCCAATCGGTGCACTGTAGCAGTGCGCCACCGGGCCGGCCCAGAAATACTGAATGTTTTAAGTGGCATATAACTTAGGGCTTGAAATTACTCTTTTTTAAAAATTTTGTAAAACTCTTTCTTCAAGAGAAGGAGAACTCACATTTATGAAATATTTATTAGACACTTTAGGAAATTGCTATTTCATTTAATTCTTATACTTTGCTGTACAGATTTTAATATAAAAAGATAAAATCTTGTTTCACAACAGTTAATAAATAGTAACATGATAGAGAGTAACATTTAGATAAGATTCCCATTTTCAAAGCTGAGGTTTTAAGAGGTAAGTAATTTGCACAAAGTCAAGGAAATTCTTAGGTTATAACTGTTTATAACTTTTAGTGCATGTTTACTCTAACATTACCCTGTCATTTGAATTTCTTCCTAAATGTCTGCAAGATCATACTTAAAGATAATTTTATAAAACACCATTAAGTTTTGTTTTCTGGAAAGTGGCTTTAAAATAACATCAATAAATTTATTTGAAGTTCATTTTAAGTATTTGTTTTATATGTTTTAATGACAAGTACAAACTTACCTGATTTTAGGTTTGGGTGAATGCCATCTTATGATGGCAAAAGCAGCTCTAGTCGATTATCTTGATGGGAAAGCCATAGACTACATAGAAAAAGCCCTGGAATATTTTACTTGGTTAGTATTCTTATTATTATTATTTTGTGTTTATTTTATTAATATTGTAATAAAGACAAATTAAGAAAATTATTTTGTCTATTCTGTTAGATACAGCAGTTATTCAAAATGTCAAACATAAAGAATAACAGACTAGCCAATTAATTCTCTGACATAAATACTGTGTTAATTTTGTCTTTGGGTCAACAAATACCATTTCTTGTGCTCTTAGTAGTGGCTAGCATGCCAAATGCATAGGAAAGAGTAGGAAGGAAGAAGCAGTCTGCTTAGTAAAGCAAGAGCTCTGACAGCACGTGTTGGTGTTCACTTTCAGGAGGCCTGGAAATCGAAGTATCTCTGACTTGAACTGATTGGGAAATAGGGCTTCAGGTTCACAATATGCTTTACATTCAGTGGTAAGGGCCTATTTAAGGCTTAATAGTAGGGCTGAAGATAAGGGGAAAAGAGCAACCTGATTGCTTCTGGAGAGAAATTGTAGGGAAAAAGTGGTGTATCTAATAACAAGAAAGGAGCAGAAAAATTTGAGTAAATCTGGTATTTTATAGACTGTAAATTCATTAGTTAGAGTAGAAGTATTATTTGTGGTAGGTGACTTAAAAAGTCCATGAGTTAGATTGCTTCCCTTCCTTTCTTTTCGTACTTGTCTTCTCCTCTGTTTCCTATTTATTTGGTCATTCTAGAATTGCTTTTCACATGAACCAAATATGAAATGAAAACCTAACCCTTTTTTCTCTCACTGATTTTTATTGCTACTTTTCAAGTCTTGCATAATATAGTTCTTTCCGAAGAGGAAGTTACTGTGAAGAAGGCATGCTTTGTTTGAGCTGGTATTTAAGAGTAAATGTGAACCTTTGGGTGACAATACTTTAGCTAGAAAAATACTGCCTTTCTGAGCCTAGGAAATTTTATTCTGGATAACATTTAGCACTCACAACTAATTATAAGGAGGTACATAAAACTTTTAAAACCATAATCCCCAAAGTTATATTTACTTCTAGATTTAAAAGGAATTTATACTACCACAACTCTTGTGGAAGGGTGATAGAAGTTATTTCACTTTATAGATAATTTTTATTGAAATTAAAAGGAGATAAGAGTTTAAGCTGTTAAAGTTGCCTCTGTTTTACTTTTTCTTTTTTTCCTCTGTTTTCTCCTTTCATGCTGTCAATTTTAGAAATTTTATTAAGATATTTAAGCAAAAGAATTCCAAATGGTGTTATCCTTCCTTCAGATTCTCATAGTGCGTTTTCTGTCATAACTACAATCATTAATATTATTCTCAGGAAGACATTGGAAAATGATTTTTGGCTGGACTCCATGAGTCAAAAAGCCAATGAAAAATGTTCCATCTGCTTGTCAATTTGCCAGTAACATAGCAGTTTGTGATAGTTCATTATCGGACTTGGCTTAAATGAAATTGCTGTTTTATTTATAAGATCTTGAGAAGAGAAAAATGAAGAGAAATGTATACCAGAGCTTTTTTTCATTCTAAAAATAAGTATCCTCTCTCCCTGTAATTAATATATCTACTTATTTTTTGAGCTCATTCATTCAACCTGCTCTTACTTGCTTCTATAAATATAGGCCTTCATATTTTCATGTGTAGATTTTTGTTATTTTGGGGCTCAGGATAAAAATCCTTTAGACTACCAAATATATTTGATACATTTAAGTGTTTTTTTATTTGACTAATAGTAATGTAATCAACTGTAAGAGTTACCAACTTTACTGCTTTGATCATTGCTTAAACAAAACAAGAGCATAGTTAAAAAATTCAGTGTTAAAAGTAAATTGATCCTAGAAAATTTTAATTTATTTATGTGATTTCTGCTACTTCTAACAAAAATGATGAAGAGTACCAAAAAATGCCTGCAAAATTTCTGGCACTTAATCAATTCCTCCCTCCATTTCCCCTTTTTTTCTTATCTTCCTATTAGGGAGTTGGGTTGAGATGACTCAGTTAGGAGGAGGTTATAAAGCATAAAGCATTCACAGCACCTAATCAGAATTTCATGTTTTAATTATAAGTAGTAATGAGGAAGATAAATTCCACGCTTTTTGGAAATAATTTATAAGAATCACACTTTCTTTTTTAGGGCCCTGCAGCATCAAGCTGATGTGTCCTGCCTTTGGAAGCTAGTTGGAGATGCTTGTACCAGTCTGTATGCTGTCTCACCATCTAAAGTAAATGTTAATGTTTTAGGAGTCCTTCTAGGTCAGAAAGAAGGAAAACAAATATTAAAGAAAAATGAGCTTCTCCATCTTGGAGGAAGGTAATTTACAAAGATTACTGGTTAATGACATTCAAATTGAATTAGGACATTCTAACAAAACATAATATTTACTTTTACGTTTCTATAGGTGTTATGGTCGTGCATTAAAACTGATGTCTACATCTAATACATGGTGTGATCTTGGAATTAATTATTATCGCCAAGCACAACATCTAGCAGAAACAGGCAGCAACACAAATGATCTTAAAGAGTTGCTGGAGAAGTCTTTACATGTATGTTTTTGAGAAATTTTAATAAACTTTTTAAAAAAACTAAGTGCTTTTATGAAAGATGTTTTTGATAAAAATAAATACTATAATGTTTTCACATAAAGTCACAGTTACCTTGATATAAATGCTGATATTCCAAGAAATAAAAATTAATCTAATTTAATTTCTTTTCAGTGTCTGAAAAAGGCAGTGAGACTCGACAGTAATAATCACTTATACTGGAATGCTCTTGGTGTGGTTGCATGTCACAGTGGTGAGAATTGAATAACACTTCAGTACTTTTAGAAGATTGTATGTTTCAGGTAACAAAGTTCAGTTTCACCGAATTCTGTATTTTTCAGGTGTTGGAAATTATGCCCTTGCTCAGCACTGTTTTATCAAATCAATCCAGTCAGAACAAATTGTGAGTGTTTTATATATCTATGAAAAAGAACTTCAGAATTTAGTCTAATTTTCTGAGATTTCCAAGTAGACGAGGGGCCTAATTTTTTTTCTTTTAATATATATAAATATGTCTTTTAGAATGCTGTTGCGTGGACCAACTTGGGAGTGTTATACCTTGCAAATGAAAACATTGAGGTAAATGCGTTGTCTGTTTTGTCATATTAAAAATAAAGAACATTTTCTATATATGATCTTTTCATAACAGCTCAACTTCTTGTGGAGAAATACTTTTCACATTGTTATCTATCCCGTATGCCCTCCAATATGCTAGTTAACCAGTGACATTCAATTTATTATGTTGTGCAATGCATAAGATTTATTTTCTTTTTCATGACACTTAAGAACCTTCTCGTTTTATAATTATGTTGGTTTTTTATTTAGAGATTAGAACAATTCTATTATGATGTAATTGGGTGATTTTCTTTTTATCCATACACATGTAAGAGAGGTCCTATGTTGATTATTATTTACAGAAGGTAAGGGAAACGGTTAATACTCTCTAGCAGCTTAAATTTAACCTTTGGATGGGTGATTTAGATTTTGGCTTTAGTGCATATTAGTCTCTTTAAATACCACAGCGTAATTTTTCATACTTGAGCAGTTATATACATTAGAGAATTGGAACTAAAATAACTGGGAGCATGGTTATAGATCATGTTTGGAAAGTTTCACAAGTCTATAGGTAATACCACATCTGTACTGTTTTGTGTTTCAGCCAGTATATGAAATCTCATCCTTTTAAAAAAGTTTCTGTAATATTTTCAGGGATACATTAAGTCACCGCAAAGAAGACTGGCTTCAGAAGATTGTAAATGGATTGAAAGAAAATATTAATTTGGATCTTAAAATGCATAAACATATTTTTAAAAAATTCAAATGAAGCAACATCTTAGTTAATAAGCTGTAAATGTGGTTTTATTATAGCATGGCATAGCAGTTGCCCATGAACTTACTTTTTATAGGAAAAATAAGAGTGTTTCCTGGCATACATAGATTACTGAGAAAACAATATAAAGCAGTATGTAATAATAAGTTATTTTTTGTAGCAGAAAAAAAAGCATGCAAGTTAATGTGTCCAAGTGAGGTACCTTCAAAGTTTCCTGACTGCTTAGTGCAGAAATATGTTGTTGACCACTCTTTCTCCAGTAGCAGGCACATGTCTCAGACTTCATTGGTTGTGAGTTCTTATCCCCCCAATTAGCATGAAGAGAGGGAAATAGATACAGCCTTATTTAATCATTTTCTTCAGACCTGTGAATAGCAAATGGAGATATGATTGGTTACAAGTTCTGTAGACTGTAAGTTTCTGGGGACCAGAACTCCTAACCTGTAGAGATCTGTTGCACCCAGGAGTACTATAGGACTGTGTAGCTAAAACACTGCTTTAAGCATTGCTAACTGTGCTTAAACAGTGAAGTTTTAGGTTCATGTATATTTATGATGACAGTTTTGACTTCTTATTCTCTTGTGCTTTTTATACATAACCAAATTAATGTTAAGTTGATAAAATGACTTGTGATTTTTTTGCCTTTTCTTTCTAGCAAGCTCATGAAGCTTTCAAAATGGCTCAGTCCCTTGATCCATCTTATTTAATGTGCTGGATTGGACAAGTAAGATATATAACATACAGTTATTAATAAACTTGATATAAGTAAACTATTAATATAAATTGGTATAAATAACCTGTTAATATAAATAACAGTGATGATAATGGTAATAGGTAGCATTTGAGGGCTTACTTTGTGCCAGTCACTGTGCTTAGTTCTTTGTACATATTATTTCCGTTAATCTATCATCAGTCCTTTGAAATATGATTGTAGTACTCCTTTTACAGATGTAGAAGTTGAAGCTCAGAGATCCTAAGTGTTGTGCATAAGGTTCCACAGCTTGTAATGATTCAACTTTGATTTAGGGGTTTGAACCCCGTCATTCTGACACTGCTGTGCTTAAAAAACAAACAAGAACTCTGCTGTTTAAGTCAGTAACAGTTGAATCAGTTACTGAACCCAGGGAGCCCAAGAATTTGCATTTTAACTGCTCCCAAGTGATGATGATGAGGCTGGTGCAGGGACCTTACTTTGAGTGCACTGCTCTAGGTCAGTGAATCTTAGATGCTTATCAGAATCACAAGGGTTTTTTTGTTTTTTTTTAATTTTACAGATTTGTTTTTTAAAATAATTTATTTCAGGAGTAACAGGTAGGTTTAATTAAAATGGTAACAATAGAAGTGAAACTTAAATTAACTTTGCTTTTAAGCACAGATATTAAATCTTTAATTCTTCCAGTTTCATTTATTACTACTAATATTTTATTTTTAAACACATCAAGAACCTCTTTTTTCCTTTTTATAGGCTCTTATTGCAGAGACAGTTGGAAGTTATGATACCATGGATCTCTTCAGGCACACTACAGAACTCAGTATGCATGTGAGAATTTGAACATGCTTGAGGATTCATTAATGAATAAAGTGTTTTCCTTGTTAAGAAAATGAATAGATAGTGGTATAAGATTGTTTTCTTTTTAATTGAAATATCATTGATTATACATATTTGTGGGGTACAGAGTTGAATATCAGTACCTGTACAATGTGTGATGATCGAATCAGGATGATTAGCATGTTCATCATTACAAAATATAATCATTCCTTGTGCCCATTAACCAATTTTTTGCTAATCTACCCACCCCCTCCACCTTTCCCACCTCTAGTAACCACAATTCTTTTCTCTCCTTGTGAAAGTTCAATATAATTGTTATAATCTATCTTTTCCTTCCTTCCTTCCTTCCTTCCTTCCTTCCTTCCTTCCTTCCTTCCTTCCTTCCTTCCTTCCTTCCTTCCTTCCTTCCT